AGCAGAGATCTCCTGCAGGGAGGATTGGCTGTGGGAGAGATGAAGAAAAAACTGCCCAGGGAGCAGCAGAGACCTGCCCCAGCTCTGACAGATGCTGACAGAACACACAGCCCCATTTCCAGTCTAAGACAATTGTCCTTGTGGACACAGCCACACCTGAGTGACAGCATCAACCCACCAGGAAAAGCTTTCCTGCCAGTGACATCCTTGGGGACAGCAGAGATGAGGGCAGGAAGGACACAGGTGCCTTTGTGCTTTACTTCTTGGATTTAAAGATGGAATATTGTATAGGAGAAGTAGGAAACTCATTTCACACCTCTCTTGAATCATAAAATCTCTGAATGGTTTGGGCTGGAAGGTAACCTTAAAGCTTATCTTATTCCCTAAAGGCACCCCTTCCACTGGAACAGGGTTCTCCAAGCCCCATCCAACCTGGCCTTGGACACTTCCAGGCATGAGGCAATGCTGAGTTTCTTTCTCACAGAATAATTGCAACCCAGGTCAGAGTTATTTTGGATGGCCAGAAACAATCAGTAAAAATTCATATTTCTCAGAAATGTGCATTTCCAGTCTTTCGAGACTCCCTGCTGAGAATTTTCACTGGGAGTTATGGGGGAAAGGGCCCAGAAAACAATTGTTTACAAACATAAATAAATGAGGTGCATTGAAAAGAGCAGAGGATGGTGACTCTCCAGGGCCCAGTGCAGTTCCAGACCATGAATAAATAACATGCACTGCTGGACCACCCTTCCTGAGGTGATTGCATGCACTGACTCCTGGTCTGAATAACAGCAAAGATCTCTCCAGGCTCTTGCAGAAGAGGGGGTAAGTCCAGAAGCTCTCTGGCCTGGTGCTCCAGAGGGTTTGTGGAGCAGTTAAGGAGAAGTTCTGTGTGTCCCTTGGCCCCACACTGTCCCCACATGCTGGGGCTGATGGAGCAGGTTTAGTTTCATGACTAATTCCAGGTCCTGGCTGAGCTTCCCTTGGGATTTGCACTCTCTCCACCCAGTCCTCCAGTGGCTGCTGCTCTCCCAGCTCACACAGTGATGTCTCCAGCATTTAGGATGATTCCCCTGTCTGTCTCTTAGCCAGATGCCCATTTTTCTAACATTTTGTAAGAATTTAATTTCCTTTGAAACCTTTCCCATGCTCTGTAGGACCTGATTGAAATTTAGTAATGGATGTAGAAAGCACAGTGTAAACACCCAAAGGAGACAGTTACTGTGCAACGTGAAATAACATCTGATCCAGCCAAGTTGCATTCATCCACAGAAATTACGATTTTCCTTTATTTGCTGACTGACGAAATTTTGAGAAATTATTCCAATCCTGCATTGACTCCTCATTTTCCACTGAAATTCCTGGAGTACCTGACACCACCAGGGAGATGATCCCACTGAAGGCCTGCCAGGGACCCCGCTCTGGGCAGAGCAGCAGCCTCAGCTCATCATCTACAAAATAAAAAATATAACTCAAATGAGAAGGAAACAGAAAGCACATGATTAACTAATTTTGTGTGTGTGTGCATGGATATTTATGTTTTTAATTGTAAAAGCTATCCCTGAACTCCTGGGTTTTGCCCCAGAGGTGAGTGGCTAACTCAGGTGTGATGATCTCCATCTCCCACCCGTGGTGTTTCCACCGCCCTGCTCTGGGTTGGGGTCTTCTCTTGCTTATTCCCCTGGCACAAGTGGCGCTAAACCCCCATAAAATCCCTGTTCCCTTCATCCGTGGCCACTCTCTGGGCTCCCTCACACTGATCCCTCATGGGCTGTGGATAGTGTGGCATGGTTCTTCCAGGCAGGAGAGACTCCCAGTAGCTGCAGGAGATGGATGAGAATGGCTGGGGCTTTGGGGTGTTTTGAATCCTCCCAATTATTTTCCCTTTTTTGAAAAATCACCTGACCATTACCACCCTTTGAATTGTACTGATCCCAAAAAGAAGCCTCTTCTCCCCATGGCTTGAGGCTTTCATGGGAGAATGATAATGAAATGTGGAGCCCTGGAATGATAATGAAATGTGGAGGAATATGAAATTGTGTTTCATAGGGGACAATCTGTGCTTCCCCCTTGGCAGGGAGACACAGAATGGCTGTCATTAATTGTGTGGCTCCAAATGAAGGTTGTCTGTCACATTTTATCTTCTTTTTCTACCTGGGTCAGGGTTGGGATTGATTGTATTTTCTGTTTGGACTCAGGTTTATTAATTCTTATTTTTATTACAGTCTTACAAGTAGTGAGTTCTACAGCATTTCACTAACAAGCTACAAAATGGCCCTGCACCTATCTCTACAAGATCTTTTAAGGAAAAACTGTCCAATTAATAAATTACATCTAAATTATTTTTACTTTTAATCCAATAACTAATCACCTATGTCCCACAGTGTGGACTTTTTATCCAATTACACAAAACCACCCAAACCCATGGAGAAGGGGAAGAATAAGGTGAAGAAGAAGGTGAAGAAGAAGGACCAGCCTCTGCCTAAAACCTCAATATTGCTTTATATATCTATTACTGTATTCCAAACCCTTAAACTCTAAGTTTTCCACCATGTGTTATCACACTCTTCTATTCAAACTCCCCCCCCCACAATCCCAGTTCTGCCATTCCATTTTGGAAGCTTCTCCACAGCCTCAGGTCAATGCAGTGTTCTCCTGGGGGTCAGAGTCTGTCAGCACAGAAAGTCTCAAATTCTCAGCAGCCAGGGCTCCAGCAGTTGTCCAGTGGAATTCCAGCTGCCCAACCCAAACTCTGAGGCTCTGAACTTCCACAGAACACCTGGAATGTGCTGCCACCGTTTAGGTGCAGTTAGGAGATTCATTTCCCCGTGGTTCAATTTGCAGTTTAATGACATCAGGGTCAGGATGGATCACAGCCATCCCCTCTGCCCTCAGGCTGCAACTCCCGTGCCAGACTCCTTGCTGAATTCCAGGAAGGTTTTGGGAATAGCACAAATTCCAGGAAGGTTTTGGGAATATCACCTTGCTGAATTCCAGGAAGGTTTTGGGAATAGCACAAATTCCAGGAAGGTTTGGGAATATCACAGCTATGGAAGCAGCAGCCTGTGCAGCAGCCCAGCTATTTTGCATTTGAATTTCAGACCTGGCGGCCTGAGGGCTAAAACAGTTTTAATGCTTGGTTCTGCAAATAAACATCCAATCTTGCATGGCTACACGATGCCAGGCAGCCAAGATAACTTATAAATGTAGGAATATTATGGGATAATCCCGATGCAATCAAAGGTGACTTCCCTGTAACACTCACATATTGCTTTCCCATGTCCCAGCAGCTTTTTCATTGCTTTTTTTAGTGGTTTGCATTTATGAAGGCAGAATTTAAAGATGTTACAGCTGACTTTGGAGTGATGCCTTCAGCTCCAAAAAGGGATTTTCCAGCAGCCTCATTTCCAAGCCAGTGCTGCTGTGGCTTCATGGCCATGCTGCCCCAGCATCCTGCAGGATGCTCTGGGAGGTGAAGGTGCATTTTCCTTGCTGTAAATCTCCTTTCTGAGCTCCTGGCAGTGGTGAGCTGTGGCCAGGAGCTCCTCTCCCTGCTCAATGGGATTGCAGACTTTTCCAGAAATCCAGGGAGGTGCTGGGGTTTTATCCCAGTGGTGCTCTCAAGGAGCCTTTGTTTGCATTATTATCCCAAGCAGTGGGATAGGACTGCCCTACTTTGCCTCCCATAAAAATAGCCCTGAAATAAGGTTTGATCTTTTTCCAGCCACAAAAATAATTGTAAGCTGTTTGCTTCCATGATTTTCCCAGACAGTTGTTGAAGCTATTCTAAAATTATTCTTTCAGTGTCTTTTTATTCTGGTGGGGTCACTGAGATTGCTGGTAAATCTCAATACACCTGTCAAAATACCTTTTTATTTTCTCACTAACAGAATATTTTGTATTCAATGTTGCAGCATTAGTGTATTTTAATATGTATCCCTTTCTTTTGCCATTCTCTAAAGTAGCTGGGAGATGCAATTTTCAAATCTTTTATTGTACAGCCTTTTATCAAACTGTCTCTATAGCTGCTGCTTTTTTTTGAAATCAGATTTCTCTCTGATAGGATCAGATCTGAAATAATTTGTTACATTCCTTGCATTTCTCATTTCTAAAGCCAGGCATTGCTTTTTTTACACAGTTTCTGTGGGGCTTTTTGAGCCTTTTGTGCTTCTTTTCTCTCCTTTTAATATCAATTCTAATGTTTGTCAGACTATTTTATTCTTCTTTCTTTGTTCTCTGCTTTTTTGATCTTTCCTGTTGGTGCTTCCCTATGAGTTTTATAACTAAATTTCTTTAATTTCCACTTGATCTCCTTTCTTTAAGTATTGTTGATAGGGAAGAAAAGCAGAAGAAACATGATAGATTTTCTGCTGGTTTGACATCTAATAGGAGATGGAACAAACCACACACTCCAGCTCCTCAGAAATCCTACAGGTTCCTTGTAATGGGAAGAATATGTGTCTGAAAAATATGAGTGACATCCAGGGAACTCGTATCATCAAGGTGTGGATCCAGTCAAGCTAGATTGGGAACATAAATAAATGGCTTTACTGTTTCAGGAATCATAGAATCGTGGAATGCCCTGAGCTGGAAGGAACCCACAGAAAACATCCAGCCCAACCCCTGGCCCTGCACAGACACCCCAACAATCCATCCCTGAGAGCATGATCCAAAAGGAGGAGAATTGGAGTGACTTCCAGCAGACTTTGATATATGGTGTATTTAGGTCTGGGCAGGGAGGTTTTCTTCAATCCCTTCCCAGAAGAATTCAGCAAGAGGGATTTGTCACACAGCAGGCTGAAACTCCAACTCCAATAATAGAGTCGCTGAAGAGTGATGTGAAAAATTAATGAGCAGTTTGGAAAAACTCAGTATCCAGCTGCTGGGGAAGGCTGGGCTGGCTCGTACCCAGCTGCTGCTGTCTCCATTCCTCATGCTCTGCTTGTTCCTTCCCTTCCTTGCCTCTCTCTTTGTTTGGGATCTTTCCTGCGTGTCCCCATGCAGCCCAGCTGGGCTGGGGTGGGGAGAGCAGCCCAGGGTCGTGGAGGGGCACTCCTAAACCATTCCTCCTTGTCCTGGCTTGTAAGATAAGCATGGATTCTATTGCCATCTGTTGGAGGTTGGGCAGTTTTCTTATCTCTCCCAAGAACAATGTCTCCCTCTGGGGAGATATCTTCTGTGAATGGACCATTGAATGACTCACTGCATGACTGGTAAAGTTCCATCATCCCATGGTGAGATGCTCCACCCAGAGGGAGGAGCCAAGCACCCCTACCTGCATAAAATCAGCATTTTTTGGGATACCAGAGCAGCCACTTCACTAAATTCCCAGAGGAGCAGTTTCTTCTCTGCTGGATCCCCAGAGGAAGACCAGGCCCATCTACTCCATCCCCAGACCTTCAGAGAAAACTCCACCCTTCTACAGATCCCCGCTCCAGCAGCATTTCATCTGCCCCTCCAGGAGGAGCAGCCACCATTTAACTGGACTATTACCAACACCCTACTCCCAAGGGTGTCAGGTTTCCGACTCCATCACTAGTTTTCTTTGTACTAATTATTATTATTACTATTATTATTATTATTATTATTATTATTATTTAGTTTTTCTCCTAGTAAAGAACTCTTATTCCCATTCCCATATCTTTGCCTGAGAGCCTTTTTTAAAATTGTGGTAATTTGGAGGGAGGGGGTTTACCTTTTCCATTTCACAGGAGGCTTTTGCCCTCCTTCACAGACTCCTGTCTTTTCAAACCAAGACACTCCTTCACTGTTTAATGCATGAAATCTGGATGTGCAGCCCTGATGTAGAACTGAGAGTCTGGGCTGTGCTGTGCTCACTCACACAAAGGTATCCTCTGCCTCTAGGGACACCGTTTGTGTTGGGAGGTTTTTCATGACTGCTGGGATTTGTTCCTTGAGCTTTTATGCAGCATCAGCCTCATGACATGGTTGAGACAACAGGAAGATAGCAAAAGTTCATATACACCAGTAGCAGCCAAAGATTTCTTTGTTACAGAGCATTTTAAAAAATTTCCAGCCAATAGCACATTGGTAATGCTCACAGACAGTTCTAGCCAGTCACTAAAAGCACACCTACACCTACTTCACACAATGCTTGTTTGTGTGCCTTTTATTAACAATGCAAAATACTCCATTATTAAGCTTAAAACCTTCTCCTATCTTCCTTAGCATATTTTCCTGCAGTCTTAAGATCTATCTTAAAGAAGATCTTGAGATCTATCAAGCCTAAAACTCAAACAATTGTTTCATGTCCTTGTTTGCTGTACCATTGTAACTTTTTCTACTTTCAGACTTTGCAGCTGCAGGTAGCTCTACATTTTCTGCTCTTTCTGTTTCTAAGGCCAGGTTTTACAGCATTCTGAAAATCTTCTTACCTTTACTATTTCCCACAGGGTGATGCACAAACCCTCCACGCAGGCAGGGCAGGGCAGGCAGCAAGCAGAGAAATGTCAGGAACCGTGAGCTGTTGCTGTAAATCCAGTCAGGAGTGGCGGTGCCTGGCAGGGAGCTGGGACAGCACCAGCCCCGCCAAGGGTTCAGTTGGGGACATCAGCAGGTGACAGGTGTGGGAAGAGCTGGCAGAGGAGGTGACAGCCTGGGAATGCCCTGGAGGTGTCAGAATCCAGAGCTTCCCTCTGGCTGCCCTGGCAGGTCTGGGACCCTGGCAGGGGTCAGGAACCCCCCTGGACAGAGCCCCCA